ACTCCCATGTCGGAAATTGATGGGGACTGGGGAAATGTGGAGGAATGACTTGCCCACACATGAAACTTTGAAGCGCGGGAGGGAGGGGGCATCATCTACATTGAATATAGGTCGATGTCCATGGTATTTTAATGTGTAGGCATATTTATGGCTTTTCAGAATTGTTTTCCCTTTTTTTGAGTGATATTAAATTCATTTTAGTTATTGGGAATCAAACAAATTCTTCACAATTTGTTTGAATATTTTGCTCACCATTAAGGTGGGGGGATGATTCAAAGCAGCCCATCCCCCTCAAAAAGTGGGAATATACAACATGAATATGCATCCCCCATGCCCCCCCGCCGGATTTCTGCCCACTCGTCCTGCACAGCATGATTCCTCAATGTAGCAATCAACAAATGTTGAAGTCACAATTGAATGACATTTGCACTTCCCTTGTCAGGCCCCACTGAGCAATTACAGTTGGCAGTAACATAAGCAAACTTTGTCCAGTGTGGTGTCATGAGTACAGATTTTTTTTCGCTTTGTGAACAGTAAATACATGTATGTGCAGGATGGCGGCTATGTGGAAGTTTCGTTGTGCTGCCTGGGGGATTATCTCTTCCCTCTTGGCTGCCATTTTATTCAGCCATTGCCAATTTTTGGAGGATTACATGTTTTACATCCCGCAAATCGCTGAAGGTAAATGATACGTGATTTAACCAAATATTATAATTAGACGAATTTCTACAGCACCGTATGGTACCACCACAAAGGATTGAGAATCTTCCTCTCTTGCCCCGCGATGCGACTGCGTCTACGTTCTTTATAGTGTTCAACCGACTTATATAGGAATATGATATACGTATACCGGAAAGGTCACACCCTGCAGGTTCCGCAGCTCGGAAGTTTTGTAATGGCATATACGTTTTCCCACACGTCATTTTTTTCCCAGGGATGTGTGATTTGGGATAATGCAGATGGTCGAGAGATCTGATCATCGACCATTCTAAAGCAATTTCGCCTGAAAACTGGGACTGACACGGAAACCCTTTTTTTTCATTGTTCGTCAGGTTGTTGAAAAAGGGTTCTTGTCATTCAAACAACATTGTCGATTGTGTTGTAGGAATTAATGGGAAATTATTTTCCTCTTGGCATAGCAGGGAATTTTTAATGGTTCCATAAAGCTCAATAAGTATAATATTTTCAACTTTTGAAGACCGACAAGCTAGCCAGTTTTCCTTTTA